ACATAGCCTTGCTTTCCCAACAGTTTCCACATCGAATCGGTCTTATCAACACCCTCAGCGGGTGAGAAATTAAGGCTATGTGAAATTTAATGGAAACGTCAGCTCAACAATTATCATTGTGGGAAAATTATTCTACTAGTCCTTCATCTTATTAAACGAAATTGGGTGAACGCATCTCATATTACTGTGTTACTGATAGTCTCGAAATCATATTTAATGCGAAAAATATACTATATATTACTTTTAAATTACTTAAAAGTGAGCAAAGTGTTTACAGACATAATCCATTTTTTCTACATGTTTACAGGTAAGTTGATCAATTTCCCTTTATAAAATCACGCTTAAATTTTGAATACTAGGAAGATGAGAATAAACTAGGAACTTGATAAGGTATCATTTAATTTGTCTAAATAAGATTGTATTTTATCTTTCGTTTATAAGTAGGTTTATAAGTAGAGTTGTAGCTTGGTGCTGAGAATGACAATAGTCACTGACGATACCGGTTAAATGTCTGGAAATGTACTAAGTCCCTGGTCCGACACTGGGAATTTCAATAACCACTATGGCAGGAGACATCAGACAAGATGCGCCAAAATAGGTCCTCCTGACAACACGACCAGGTTGCGAAAACGCGGTCAGCCCAATTGTGAACATTGAAATGAGGCTGCAACCATACCAGAGGCCAAGCGATCTTGGTCTTCATTTATTCGAAACTAAAGCGAATTAAAAGGATTCTTTTGATCTTTACACCAGCTAGAAACATTTGATGGTTTTTGAGACTACCACTAGATCTTCATCACCCCATCTTCTATCAGATACACCAATAGTCTCGAAAAACAAACTTATGAAACTAAAAAGAAGTGGTACATCCTATTTATATGGTAAATACAAATTTGTTTCGTCGACAATCCAACCTCACAATTGTGATATGGGAATGGCCTAGCCTTCCTTGAATTTCACTTCTGTCTCCTTTTGTTCATACTCTCCAGCTTTGCTTTGTGACGCTCAGTTATAACTTGAACTGCCATACTACCCCTCATCAAAGGACATTTATTCCATGCAGCTCTAATAGTCCTTTTTCCCCAATGTTTCCTCATGCTTAGTTGGGTTTTCAAGTTAAGCAAGGCCTAAATCATTTTATCCATCAATAATAAATAGCTGGCTAGATAGAGAGCATCACTAAAAGAACAAAATAGCATATCATCTTTTTGAATGCTCACAAATCTGACGAATAAAATTCAAAAAAGTTCCAGACTCTAATTTGGACTAACAAACTGGATTTCATTTGCTTTGCAGTCAAACCTGAACAATCTGTGGCATAAATTAGGGAATAAAAATGTACATGATTGATTAAGAAAGTTTCTAGTTATTACCGACAGTGTCTATCATTGCGAGTCACATCCTTTGATTGGGCAAAATGTGTGTTGCATAATAATTCATAAAAAGTGTATGCTCAAAAATGCAGCTCAACTCGGCAAATAAAATGTCTTCTCTTCCACCCAATTTTATTTGTCTGACCCTTACACTTGACAACCTTAACCATCTACCAGCCAAAATAAAACGCAAGAATGCATTCGGTATCTGCAGAAGTTCGCCGACATCTGCGAGACGAACGGCAGTTGGGTGGAGCTGGCAAGGGCCTGTCAACTACTTGGCCAAGCCTACGACAATCTTGGGGACTATGCGTCCGCTTTGAAGTGGATCACCAAGGCCAACAATATGCCAAATATGATAAAGGCAAGTGATATTGCACATGTCTGCAAAATTTGCTTTTTCTCTAATACCTTATTTGTAGTGAAGCCTCAAAGAGGACATTTCGTCACTCTGATGATTAATTGATGGGCGAATGTTGGCTTGCGTC